CACACGTATTGGTGGGGTATTTTTGAGACAGCGTCGTTTATAATCGAAGAGAACGGCGGAGCTCTTCTCCGGGTTCACATCGATGCGCCATTTTTGAACCAAGCTCCTAGGTCGTCAACTGACTTTTGAACCTTGTTCCGTATGAAAGGTAGCGGAATACCTTTACAGTAGAGAGCAGTGTCGTCTGCGAAGAAGGAGAGCTGAACACCTTTCGACGGGATGGGAATGTCGTTGGTGAACAGGATGTATAGCAGAGGAGCAAGTACTGAGCCTTGAGGGACATCAGCTTTGATAGGGCGCTGTGAAGATAGTGCCTTCGTGTCTAAAACGAAAGGTACGATGCTTTAGGTAAGAGGCCACGAGACGTACTAGACGATCGGGGAGACCTATTTTGTATAACTTGTAGATAAGGCCTGTATGCCAGACTCTATCAAAGGCTTTAGCTATGTCGGAAAAGACAGCGATGCTCTTATGACGCCGAGGATAAAAACCGCTGAGGATATATTCCAGAATACTCTGAACTTGTTGGGGACGTGAGTGTTTCGCTCGGAAACCGAATTGATGGGGAATGAATGATAAGAGGGTCACCGTCTGTGGGAAACAGATGGCGCCTCATGTGAGTTTGTATGACTCTTTCGAAGAGCTTGCCCATGGCCTTGAGGAGGCTAATGGGGCGATGACTGGAGGGGGAGGTTGAGAGGCTTGCCTGGCTTGGGAATACCAATCACAGTTGCCTCTTTCCACGTAGTGGGAAAGTAACTAAGGTTAAAGGTTAACACCTGCTCAGGAAAGTGTTTTAGGGCTTGGTTGGAGATGCCATCCGCGCCCGGAGCCTTTTTGGGCTTAAGTCCTTTGATGAGGGATGAAATCTCATCATTGGACACAGAGATAGGTTCGGAGGCTGTAGGGGGTGAGTTCCGGCGGCGGACCTTATCCTCCACTGCCTGGATGTGTGAGGGGTCGACGGGTTGAGAGCTAGGAGAGCATTGTGCGGCAATGCTGTCTGCAAGGCACTCAGCCTTTTCCTCGTCCTCGAAGGCAACCGTACCGTCAGGACGAGAGAGAGTGTGGGTAATAGCGTATATGCGGAGGGCTCTAGCCATCTGATAGTACGCTGTATGAGATGGAGAGATATTCTCCATGAGTTTACTCTTTTCGAGGTCTCGAAATTCAGAGAGGCGGAAACGGAGTTCTCGTTGAAGACGATTGGCCGTGCGCCTATATTCGGGGGTGGGATATTTTGCTGCTCTCCGGAAAGCAGCTTTCTTGGCTTTTAATAGGTTGCTAATATGTAGGGGAAGCCCACTATTGTTAGCAACCGGGACGACCATTTCGTTCTCCCTAAGGAAGGATTTAATAAGGGTGGAGAGTGAATCGACCGCGGTGTCGATTTTTTCGGGACTGTCTAAGTCCGACGATAGGGAGATGGTAGAGTCCTGTGAGTCCAGAGCTTTAGCTAGGGACTCCTTGAATCCCTTCCAATTAGTGAAGGTTTTCGTGTGTGTTGGGGGAGGCGGCTGATGGCCAAGAATGAGGGAGACCGGTCGGTGATCGGATCCTAGATCGTCTAGTGTCTCGATTGCCCTGAGGTTGAGAGAAACTCCTTTGAGTAACGCAAAATCTAATACATCGGGGGCGTGATCGGTGTTATCGGGAAAGTGAGTAACACCGAGGGGACTATGGACGGTAATATCAAGAGACTGCGTGATATCGAGCAGTATCTTGCCACTAGGGGAGGTAGTACGGCATGTCCATTCAGTATGCTTATAGTTAAAATCTCCAAACATAATGACTGGAGAATGAGGGGATGGGTTCCTGAAGGGATGTAACAGGAGGCTATGAGGATGGACTGATGTCCAGACATAGCTAGCCTGCATACCGTGGCTTCCATGTTGGAAGGCTGCGGAGTAGAAATGGGCGAGCAGTGAATTGTCTTCTTGTAATAGATGGCCGTTCCGCCGCCTCGGCGTTCGGGTCTGTCATTACGAAGAAGAAGAAAGTTTTTAAATAGAAAGGCCTTTAGTGTCCTTAGTTTTGAGATTAGTTTCCTGTAGGAGGAGGAAATCGGCATCACGATTTCGAAGAAAGAGCTTAAGCTCTGGAAGGTTATTTCGCAAACCGCGAATATTAAAGGATACAAGCGATAAACCCTTAGGTTTGATACGACCGTGAGACTTTGGTAGAGCAAACTGCTCTGTCATTGTGAAGTTAAGTTAATTAAGTTAACTTAACTTACAACGAGCACAAAAGATTATGATGTTCTGCAAGAGCGAGGAGACGGTCCTGAGGGGACCTCGCAGCGTGCAATTTGCGTGTTAACACAGCGATTTCCCCAACGTCGATGTTCCTAATAGCGGAATACACCATTTTTAGGTCATCAGCCATTGAGGGCTGTGATTGTTGTGGGGCGGAGGTTGTCCGCGGTGGGTCTGCCTTTTTGGGGCCCCAGGGAAGACACAGAAGATTGGAGGCTGCATAGGCTTAGAGAAACCCGGTGGGGGCCGAATAATGCCCTGAGGGTCCTAGGGGGAAATTGAGAGGGCCGAGAGAAGCCTTGGATGGGCTGAGAAAGGCCCTGACGGGGCCGTTGGTAGAGAGCCTGGAATGAGCGGTCATTGACCGGCGGTGGAGCTTGCCTACTGGGGCGAAGATGAGGTGCGCAAGGGCAGCCTCTGTAGTTTGCCGGGTGGCCTGTTTGTTTACACAGAACACATGCGGGTGGGGATTCGGCGTCTTTGGGCCGAGGACACTCTTTAGTGTTGTGGGGTTTAAGGCACTTAACGCACCTGGGTGGGGCGGAGCAGATGGCCGCCGCATGACCATATAGCTGGCAGCGGTGGCACTGCGCCGGGAACCCGCGCCTATGTGGGGGCTAAACCCTCACTCTCGACAGGCCACACACTGTGCGTACCTGCCGGAAGATGGCTTTTGCCTCCGGCACGTTGGTTAAAATGACTAGGGCAAGATTGAACCTCTGACCCGTTCTGCTGTGCATTTTGTGCACGGCTTTTACGGGGAAATCTTGGGACTTAAGGTCAAGAATTTCCTCGTTGGAAAATTCGAAGGTGACGCCTCGGATGACGGCCCTGACCTTACGCTCTTCCAGAAGAGCGTACGTGTGATTAGAAACTCGTTCGGCTGTGAATAGCCTGGTGAGTTGACGGAAGTCATCGATCGAATTGGGGATGATTTTAATAGTCTCCCTATTATATTCCTCCCTATAATAGAATTGGTGGCAGGCCTCTTCCGGGAGGCCGACGCAGAGGACTCGGAGCATGCGTACTCCATCTCTAATGGGGCAAAAGAGTTCTTAGTCTCTAGGTATGTCGCGATTACGGGCGGCGGTTGGAGTGCCTGAGGGGCAGGGGGGAGTAACATGGGCGGCGATGGCGGCGAGGGCCGTCTCATCGAGGTTAAGGCCCAGACCAAGAGTTTGGTTAGACTTAATTAGGCTAACTGTGGACATGTTGGGGGCAGTAATCTACTAAATCTACGCACAGTAAGGATTGGGACGGGTCCCTGTTCTCAGAAGAACACGGACTTGAACACGAGACGTTCTGCGATACAATATACACGTATAACAATACAAGAAAAACAAAGAATAACAGAGAAATAACCAAAATAACAATAAAACAATAAAAATAACAATAAAGTAACAGTAACAAGCGGAGGTCAGTCAAACCTCCCCGCCCGAAGACAGGGGGGCAAGAACTGTTAGCGTAAATGACTCACCAATGCGTCGACGCTGTACAGCGCGAGCAGGACAGCGGAGGCGCGAGAGCGAGATAGCACTACCGTACGGGGACGAGAGCGGGGACTACCTGGACATGACCGCTCGAGAACGGTGCCACAGGCGGAATACTGATGTTTCAGCCACGGAAAGGTTTCTTAAGTTGATGGGCAGTCTATACCCTCAGAGTTAGCAACCCTACCCCTTTCAACATGGAGGACCGCACACTTATCCGTCCCCAGCTCCATTCCAATAGAATTGCTAAATTCACAAGTGACGTTTAGCAATTCCGTAAGATGGATGCGACTGGAGGCGAATAATTTGAGGTCATTCATATAGAAATCGTGGGTCACTTTTGTACCTCCTTTTCGAAGCTGAAATCCCCTCCTGGAGCCCTCCAGTAAAGTACTGCCCTTCTTATCCTTACGCGGCTTTCCGCAGCCGTCATCCGCTCGCCTAGATGACAGAGGATCGTACTCCACTGCCCCATACACTGCCCGAGGAAGTCTCGAACTGTACAGTCAATCTTGTACAGCTCGAGGACCCTCTTTAGCCATGTATGGGGCACCGAGTCAAATGCCTTTCTGTAGTCTATCCAGGCGGCGGAGAAGTTCCGACGGTTGCGTTTCACCACTTTGCTAATGACCGCGTCAATGGTTCATTGGTTCCACGACCGCCGCCCCGACATCCATTTTGAGCGCGCGACATTACCTGATTTGAGTCCAGGTGACGAGTGATTCTCGCGCTCAAAATGGATGTTAGTGTCTTGTATATAGTCGGCAGACACGTGATGGGCGATATTTGCTCGGGTCTGTGGTACCCTGGTCTTCAGGAACCAAATGAGTGAACCCAGTAGTGAAGAGGCTTGGGAGCGACTTCTGGTTGAGAGCCTCTTGAAAATGTCGGGCGAGCACCGCGTGACACACCATGAACCCCTTCAGACAGTAGCGATGCAGCCCGTCAAGCCCCGGACTTTACCAGTTCGGGGCCCTACGGACCGCCTCATCTACGTCATCCGGCGTTATGATGACGGCGTTATACCCGCACACTGACTCGCCACAACTTCCGTCCAAGGGCCCTCACTGTGGTTTACGGGCTCTGACCACAGACTGCGGCAGAATGCGACCGTGTCGGCCTGATTCGGTGCTGGGCCCGTTCCACTTACCATTGGTCGCTCCAATGATTTATAAAGCCTCTTCTGATCACTCTGGAAGAGACGATTCTGGTTGAACCGTGTCGACCTCTCGGTATATCGCCGAATCCACTTTCCCTAAGCAGCGATTCTCTGCTTTAGGTCATCTATGCGCTCCGTCAGTTTTTGCATTATATCCGGCTGGGACAAACTAACATTTGACAACGCCATCCTGACGGTGCGCACAATCCTTGGCCTGGTATTGCCTGACCTGAAGCATATCAGTCTGCCGATGAGGGCCCTAGCCTTTGCGATACGTTCTTCAATTCTAATTCTCCAGGCTGGGATAGCACTACTTTGTCCAGTAGCCCGTCCAGCCGTGGAGAGTTTGGCGCCTATAATACGGCAGACTAACAGTGCGGTGCCAAAAAGAATTAAGTCCGTATCGCAAAGGTCACGGCTGGCTTCCAAATTGGTCACCAGCATTGGGTTCAGAGCCCTCACGACAGCCCGATTCCGCTTGCTTTGGGCTATGCGGGGAAGTCGCGGTCGAATTTCGAGAGGCGTACTGCGCGTTTCCACAATCGTCTCTTCCAATGTACTCCTCATTTGCTCTAGTTGCAGTTCTTGGGCGATTGTTCCATCATCGTTTGAATCAACCACAACTGGGGTATTCACGACGGCATCCACGTTTGCCGTTTGCTCTGCAAGTTGTGGCGCCGCATCCTCAGCCGTAGCATTTTCACCCGATGAAGGAACAGCCTCACGCCGTAGAAATATATTTGAGCGCAAGATATACCGAACTCGGTCAGCCAAGTTTTGCTCGGTGACGGTTATAGATGGCTCCAGCTCAGCAAAAAGACAATGAATCCTAGCCCGATATGCTAAACCTTCAACTTCTCCCCCTTTCGCCCTAAAATACGCCCACAGTGCGTTGGTATTCATTTTGATTGTCCATCGCATGCGGCGTACTCCACCAGTGGCGGGTGCCGATTGCTGGGTCCGCGAAGACCCTGCCGACACCAAGCCAGATGGTGGGGATGATGGATGCGGGGGGCTGATGGGTGGTCGTGCAGCACCTCTCGCTCGGCTGGCGGTTCGCATGCTGTCGCGTCCAGCGCCAGCCCCAGACGCGCCCTGGCGACCTCCAGGCAGCGGCCCTTTGCGCGTTCTTTCGTACTCCATCATCCATATAAGTGGGCGCCATTTAACGGGAGACGCCCAGACCCGGCGCCGTTTCATGGTGGGGCCATGTGCACAAGCGGGCCTTTGCACCTTCATTTTTTGCCGAGGCACGGCACTTACACCTCTTGGCAAGGCGCTGACTGACTGCGCTGACATAGCGGTTTTGTCACATAACTGTTACGTCAGTATTATTATTATTATAATCACAGATTTTCATAACAGAAAAAAATTAATAACGAGTCTAAGTTAATAACTAGACATAATAATAAAAGCCTGAGTACAAATACCTAAAAATTAAAGTACCTAATATTAAAGTCGCTTTCTGATCATTTTAAGATAATTCTGTTAAGTTTTTTCAATAAAAAATAATAAAAATATTTTTGAATTTCAATAATATAAACTTAATAACAAAAAAATCTATTGTCGATTCAGAATTTTTTTTCTTCATTTTTTCACAATCATATGAGCATTATGAGTCGTGCACTTTTGGATTTTCTAAACTTTTTTTATTGACGTTTGACATAAAATTATCGGGAAATAAGGTTATTTGTGAAAACTTGTGTGTATTTAAAATACTTTAAAAATTGAAGTATAACATAAACGTGCAAGCACATTTGGATTTACCAAATTTTTTTTTGATTTTTAAATCGTCGGGTAAAAAATAGCCATAAAATTAATTTTAATTTGACAATATAAAAGACTGAATGAAAAAATTGAACTACGAATCAATTAATATTCTCTTATTGTACACTATAAAAGAAAACATCGAAAAGCAAGTGAAGTATGCAATTCGGAGGTCGCTAGCGATTGTTTTCAGGCAACTAAAGGCGTAATAAATTTCTTTTGTAAATTATTTTTACAAAAGAAATTTATTAAGTATTTTCGCGACCTTTCAAACCGCGAGCCCTGAGTCCTATGAAGCTGCAGTAGCCGAAAAGCTAACAGCATACACCAAGAGAAAGAACCAGAAACTAGAGAACGAGCACACAGTCCACATAAGAGAGAATAGAGCACAGAGCATCTATATCTATCTATCTTTGATTAAAATAAAATGCAGATGCGTTGTCACTATTGAGGGCTAACATGGAATACCTTGTTTCACATAAAAAAGCCCTCTGATTCTCTATACGCAACATACAAAACACAGCACCATTAAGCCGCTATTTTACGCTGGTATTCTGTGAGAGCGCGGTCCTTTCCCGACCAACGATCCCATTCGTGCTACAACGTTATAGCTGCAGCGTGGCCAATAAGTAAAAATTGTATATGTTACGTTTTATCCTTTAAATACCTTTTATATGAGGATTGGTAAATCTGCCCTAAGCAGAATAATCACCCATAACACACAAAAGCAAAACGGAATTATGTAAGAAACCTAATCTCGTTATGAGATGAAAGTGGAACGGGAACCCGTTGACATGCGGTAGTCCCGAACTTGTAGAGGGTCGACGACCCTTGCTTAGAACTATACCGAGATGTGCTTGCGCAGTTAAATGAATGTTTTCTTAGAACAGAGCGTAGTGTAGTGTTATGATAGCTTGCATTTGTATGGCTAAAGCTCATTGTTGGGAGTTTACACAGTTTACTGTCTATTTGAAGGACTCTTGTCCTTTGTAATACACTACAAATATAGGAGTAAGATTGAAAATATCTGCTACGTACGGACAGCTTAAAAAACTTTTATATTTACTCAAAGCGTTATCTCTACAATATAAATCTTGGAAGCGTTTAACACGCGTAAAGTGCACAAGCACAAACATCCAAACAAATACTTTGTTTTATTCTTCCGGGTTACTTATTAAGATTTATTGATTTATCAACTAGTGGGAGGGTAAAAAATCCAATGGTGATAATAAAGACACTCGATCGAAACAATTCAATTCAATCAAGCATTGCAATATTAACTACTTAGAAAAAAAACCATTATTATTTCTATAAAATCACATGGCAACATTTTCGGTTACGGCTAGCGAACGTTAGATCTCCGCAAAAAGGGAATGCAATATTCGCGGGAAGTATCAGAGCTCGGTTTAGATTGAGTTTCATGTAAAAACTAGTATTGCAGCTCTATTCACACGTATTCCGGTTTCAGTATAGATAATTATTTCCATAGAACTAGTTCTTGAGGCCCTTCGTTAGCAGATCTCGGAATGATGGTTAAAACGGCGAATTTAAACTGTTTTATGTTTTAAAGTTTTTTTTTATAAAACCTAGAAATGTCCGAACATCAAATTCATGTCACAAAAAAACAATAAAATAAAATATTGTACTTTTGTAATAAATAGTTCTACGTAATTCTGTCTTGAAATGTACGTACGAGGGTGACACTGAAAGTTCTTAGAAAATCAAAAATTGAACAAACTAGCAAGTTATTAGTTTTATTATATCTTTTCAAAATAGTGTCCATTTACATCGATGCATCGCTGCATCCAATGGAACCACTGAGAAAAGCACTTTGCTCCCTCGTCCTTAGGGGTCTCTTCGACGGCATTTTGAAAGGCCGCCACTGCTTCCTCGGCGTCCATAAAACGTTTTCCTCGAAGTTTTTCTTTTATTTTTGGTAATAAATATAAATTACAAGATGTGGGGCCGGGGCCATAGGGCGGGTGACCCAGTAATTCCACGTCTAAAGTCGCTAAGTAGTCGATTGCTTGCTTGGCGGTTTGCGACGAAGCGTTGTCGGGGTGAAGGAGGATCCTACTGCGAGGTCGTTTCCTCCGAACTTTTTCAAAGACGAGTGGCAAGCAATTGTTAGTGTAACATTCTGCAGTAACTATTTTTCGATCCTCTAAAACAGCTGTTGTGTAATGACCTGTCCTTCCGAAGAATAAGGCCACCATCTTTTTTCCCACGCTTCGACCTCTCTTCACTTTAGTTGGCAACTCGTTGGAAGGAAAGACCCAGACGGCAGACTGTCTTTTAAGTTCAGGATCATAACAATAAATCCAGCTTAGGTCACCCGTAACTATGCTGTGCGTTTGAGTCAGCTCCGTTAAATCTTTGAACCATTTCACGACACCAATCAACACGACGGAGTTTTTGGGCCTCTGTCAAATTATGAGGTATCCACCGGGCACAAAGATTCGTGACCGCTAAATGTTCATGGAGGATTTTGTGCACTTGACTCCTACCGATGCCTAAGCTTGTCCGAATCTATATACGAAATATTTATACGTGGTAGAGCTAAGCTGCAGTTATATTAGCAGTATAGTTGTAGCACGAATGGGTTGGCTCAACCGGGGAAGGACCACGCTCTCACAGAATACCAGCGTGAAATAGTAGCTTAATGCTGCTGTATTTCGTATGGTGAGTGTAGAGAAACGGAGACCCCTTTTACTGGAAACGAGGCATTCCATCTTAGTCCTCACGGGTGACAACGCATCTGCATTTTGATTTGTAATCGAGGATAGATGTAGATGTCTATGGGCCGTAGCAACCACTTACCATCAGGTGGACTGTGTGCTCGTTTGTCACCCTATCCTATAAAAATAATCTGCTGATAAGTCACTCTTTTGTCAGTCTCTATCATATCAGTCTATATCACAACACTGATATTTTCTTCAATCGTCGCCGTAGAAGGCCAAGGTATAGATCGCATATCTGGCATGGAGCACTCACACCGCGGGATGGTCGGCGGTGTGTTCCCCCCGTCATCTAGAGTCCAGTTAGACGCAAAGAGAAAGCCTAACAGATGGGCTTTCTCAATGGCCAGTAAGTCGTCCCTTTGTGGAGAGATGGAAGAGATGGCTAACAGAAGTTGACAGTTGTACAACCTTGGCAAGAGACCAGAATGTATGATTTTCCGAAGGAAGACAAACTAGGTTCTCGCCAATTCTTTCGAGGTGCTCTGATCTTGCCTTGGCAATGACTCTTTTGAGGGACCTGGAGGTGGAATCATATTTATTTTTTAGAGCGTTGGTGTTTATAACCCGAGACGTTGATGCGTCAGCCCAGACACTGCAGCACTCTAGCGTGATGCTATTTTACAGGAGCGACCAAACCATGACTGCTTCCGATGGGCACCACAGAAGATGAAATAATAAGTTTCATACACTGAAATATCACATGGCATTGTTAGCCCGGCTACTTTCAGTTTATGAATATTAATTTTAGGTCCAATCTACGCAGAACTATAAGCTCGTTCTGTGTACGTTTAAATATAAGAAATCATCTTATATTTCAATCGTTAAATACAGCTATAGCTAATATCTCCCCTATGACTTAATGTATGAAGGTGTTCGACCGTGGAATTTTGATAACGGAATAACTTTTATCTGTGGGTTGAAAAAATGGCTTGTTATATGAAATCCTAAAACATATTAATTAAATTATTATTAATTACAAACATTATTTAAATTATTTCCACAACATTACTATTCTAGTTTAACAGTGAAACACATCATTACTATTCTAGTTTAACAAACGTCGGCTAAGAACAAAATAGAAGGCCTGACTATAGATAATCGACAATTACTTAATTCTAGAGCCATGATATAAATTCATAGAATGCACCGACTTATGAACGTTAGCACGTATTGTTCGTTCCTAAAACAATCGTTCAAACATCGAGACAATCGTTTGTTTTGACTATATGCTCATAATATCCGATCAATGGATCTTATTCAATCGGAATGCATGACCGTGTGGGGCATTGATTTATATATTACATATAATTATACATAGTTGTATAACTCAATGGTGTAGGGAATTTAATGGCCTAATAATGTTTATAGTGTGCTATCGTATGGCATAACTAAGTGTGTTCTAACATATTCTATGCATGATATCTTTAAAATTGTAATATTAATACAATAAAACCTTAGAAGTTATATTTTAATTCTTTTCTGAGCCAAGATATTCACCTGCTGTTACCCACCCGCTCGTAAATTATCTTTAGCAATAATAACTATATAAAATATCCTATCTCTTAATCGATTTCTATACTAAATTTCAATAGAATCTGTCCAGCCTTTGAAGCCTGATTGTAGAACCAACATCCAAATATTTCATTAAAATTCAATCACCATTCTAATTTATGTTTATTTATAAATTTATTTATTTATTGAAACTAACAACTAACATGACAGGAATAATCTAATGCGACGGTGTAGTTCTTTTTATGCATAACAAAAATGTAGAAATTAACTGTTATAAAC